ATGCCCCGCACTGGCGTTTTGCTGCGCCGGCGCTTGCAGCCCGATGAACTCGTCCTCGTCGACAAGTCCGCCAGGGCCCGCGGTAACGGCGCCGCCGCCGCCACCCGCGCTGTGAAACAGCGACGCGCTGCCCGCGGGGTGGCGCCCATGCACCAATCGGCCGTCTGCAGGTGCGTCAAGGGCATTGGCCATCCAGCGGGCGCCGCGGAGACTCGCGGCCGGAAGCGGGCCTTGACTCCGAAGGGCGCCGACGAGCTCGACCGAGTCCGGAAGCGCTTGCTGAGGGCAGCCAACAACCAGTACCGGGTCACTTACGCGGACGCGGTCGCGGCGGCGGACATGCAGGGCCGCGCGCGTCAGCGCGCTTGCGAGGAGGCCCCGCGGAGCAAGGGGGTGCGCTTCAGGCAGCCGCGAAAGAAGATCTTGTCGACCGAGGAGGACGCCGAGGTCCGCGTTGAGACGCAAGGCTTGGCTGAAGCGCCCGAAGAAGTATTGGGAGACGGGCGTGCACGCGTGGGTGAACAGCGAGAGCTGGGTCATGCCGCTCACTCCGAAGCAGCGCGCCAAGCGCAGGCAAACCCTGGTAACTGGACACCTTCGCAAGCCAAGCGAGGGGGCGGAGAAGGGCATGACGAAGCCTCGGCAGAACCACTCTTTCCTGGGCATCCCATCGGTCTGAGCGACAGCGGCGGTTGCCAAGGACCGGGTCATTCCGTGGCACGCGCAGGCCAGCAAGTGGAATGGGCAGAAGGCCGCAGACACCTACTCTGGGCAACTTCTAAAGGCGCTGCGACGCGCCTGGGGGGCCCGCAAATCTTACACCATCGTTGACGACGGGGGCCGGAAGGGCAACCAGAGCCAATAGGGCATCGACGCTAAGTCTGCGTGCGGCATCGAGGCTCTCACCCTCCCGCCGCGGGCCCCCTCGGCGACGCCCCTGGACTTCCCCATGTGGAAGGCCGTGGAGAGGCGCCTTGTCCAGACGGCGCCCGAGACGATGGAGACCAAGGGCGCCTTCCTCCAGCGGCTCAAGAGTTGCGCGCAGAAGTTGCCGAAGAACAACGTGGAGAGCGTGATTGCGCGAATGCGCCCAAATATGCAGGATATCGTCGACGCCGACGGCTACGCCCCGAAGAACGACTGAGGGTTCTCCCCCGAGCCCGACCGTTCGGGCGCGTTTTGCCATGCAGTCGTAGTCGACGCCTTCCTCGGGCCCGAGGCGGCGCGGGCTGTTCGATTTTCCGACGTGGCTCGGCGGTGGCTGGGGGGCATTCGTTGCTCCGTTCCAGATGAGCTTGGCCGCGCCGCTGCCGGGGCGCAGTCCGTTGCGCCCTTCGTCAGCAGCCGCGCAGCGCGAGCAGCTCGGTTCTCCCATCTGGTCAGTGCATGGCCAGGGTGCAGTCGTTGTTCTGCGCGCGTAGTGCGCACGGGCGCAGACTTCGTATCCCGTCCGAGTTGCCCTTGCAAGAGCCGCGCCAGATTGAAGCCCGCGGATCGGATATTTGAGGTTCGATGTCGACGCACGGTCGCCCGCGTCGCGGCATCGTCAAGGCCATCAGGATTCCGGGTGAATTTCTTTGGCGCGCCCCCCGTCTCGGCGTGGATTTGGCATTTGTTTCATTGCATTGTGTTGAATTGCCCCCGTTGCGGTGACTTGCGTCGTTTTGCGCGGATCTGTTTGCGGTGCTTTGCGTTGCGCGGCGTTGCTTCAAATTCTGCCCTGGCCTACAGCGTTGTTTGTTTTGCCACCTGGGTTGCGCGCCGTGCACCGCGCCGCATAGATTGCATCGTCTGGATGTGAAAATATCGACGTTCGGGTTCGAATTGGCTGGGAGTCGATTGCGATATGTCACGCGATGCAGGAAGAATCGGTGCCGAGTTAATGTTGCCAGAAGGCCGTGGATGTAAAGAATTAACGCGGAATCAGTTCGTAACGTTGGATTTCGCCATTCAACGGCCTCAGGAAGAGTGCTTCGGTAAGATGTATCGCAGCAAATGAAACTGTAAAAAAATAAACGCGAACCACGGAAGAATTGTTCCTTCACCCGTGGCGGGTTACGCCGAGGTTGTGTTCTATTTCTTTGCATGGCGGGGTTCAACGTTACGAATGGTTTCCGCGCTAATTCTTTACAGCCACGGTAGCAGTAGTAATAGTACTAGTTGTAGTAGTAGTAGTAGTAGTAGTAGTAGTAGTAGTAGTAGTAGTAGTAGTAGTAGTAGTAGTAGTAGTAGTAGTAGTAGTAGTAGTAGTAGTAGTAGTAGTAGTAGTAGTAGTAGTAGTAGTAGTAGTAGTAGTAGTGTCAGTAGTAGTAGTAGTAGTAGTAGTAGTAGTAGTAGTAGTAGGAGTAGTCGTAGTGGTCGTAGTCGTAGTAGTAGTAGTAGTAGTAGTAGTAGTAGTAAGTCGTTAAGTATAGTAGTAGTCGTCGTCGTCGTAGTAGTAGTGTATTAGTAGTAGTAATAGTAGTAGTCCGTCGTCGTAAGTCGTAGTAGTCACTACTACTACTAGTAGTCGTAGTAGTATAGTAGGTAGTAGTAAGTAGTCGTAAGTAGTAGTGTAGAGTAGTAGTAGTAAAGTAGTAGTAGTAGGCGTTGAAGCCTGACTAGGGCGTGGAAGGTGTTGTGTGTTTAGTGTGGTGTGAGTAGTTGCGGAGTATAATGGTAGTAGTAGTAGTAGTAGTAGTAGCAGTAGTAGTAGTAGTAGTAGTAGTATTATCGTAGTAGTATTATAGTAGTAGTAGTAGTAGTAGTAGTAGTATTATAGTTGTAGTATTATAGTAGTAGTATTATAGTAGTAGTATTATAGTAGTAGTAGTAGTAGTAGTAGTAGTAGTAGCAGTAGCAGTAGTAGTAGTAGTAGCAGTAGTAGTAGTAGTAGTAGTAGTAGTAGCAGTAGTAGTAGTAGTAGTAGTAGCAGTAGTAGTAGTAGTAGTAGTTTTGGAAGTAGTCGTAGGCAGTAGTAGTAGTAGTAGTTAAAGAGTAAGTAAAGTAGTGGGGGGGGGGGCAGTAGTATTAGTAGTGAGAGTAAGTAGTAGTAGTTAGTAGTAGTAGTAGTATAATATTAGCAGTAGTATAGTAGTAAGTAGTAGTAAGTAGTAGTAAGTAGTAGTATAGTAAGTTGTGGTAAGTAGTAGTAGTAATTAGTAAGTAGTAGTAGGATTAAGTGGTATTATTAGTGGTAGTAGTAGTGTATTAAGTAGTAGTATAACTACTATCATTAGTAGCTAGCACTAGTTGTAGTAGTAGTAGTAGTCAGTAGTAGTAGTATGGTAGTAGTAGTAGTAGTAGTAAGTAGTAGTAGTAGTAGCTGTTAGTAGTATAGTGTAGTCAGTAGTGAGGTAGTATCAGTGTAGTAGTAGCAGTAGTAGTAGTAGTAGTAGTAGTAGTAAGAAGTGAAATAGTGGTAGTAAGTTAAGTAAGTAGTATTAGTAGTAGTAGTAGTAGTAGTAGTAGTAGTAGTAGTAGTAGTAGTAGTAGTAGTAGTAGTAGTTGTAGTAGTAGTAGTAGTAGTAGTAGTAGCATTGGGGTAGTAGTAGTAGTAGTAGTAGTAGTAGTAGTAGTAGTAGTAGTAGTAGTAGTAGTAGTAGTTGTAGTAGTAGTAGTAGTAGTAGTAGTAGCATTGGTAGTAGTAGTAGTAGTAGTAGTAGTAGTAGTAGGAGTAGTAGTAGTAGTAGTAGTAGTAGTAGCCGGTGTCGTCATCGACGTCGTCGTCGTAATAGCCATAGAAAGATCAATATCCGGCATTCCCGTAGTATAGTGGACGGGCAATAGTCCCATGATCCGTTCTAGTCTGGTAGCCGCGCCAGACGTATTATGAAGATGGCGGGAGAGGGGGGGCAGAGGGGGTGATGATGAGGAGTAGGAGGAGTCAGATGAGCAACGGAAGCATCACGAGGAGGAGGAGGAGGATAACGGAAGGAAGGGGTGCAAGGTTGCGGGGGGGGGATCGTGGAAGAGGGGTTAGGAGGAGGAGGAGGAGGAGGAGGAGGAGGAGGAACGGGCACGGGAGGGGCTTAGGGCTGAGGGCTGGGCCTTTCATTCGTATTTGTTTTTATTATCGATGTATATATATATAGATGCAAACGAAGAGAGAGAGAGAGAGGGAGTGAAATAGTGATATAACACCAATAAGAGATACCAAACACGAGAGAGAGAGAGAGACAGAGAGATCCATCTTAATTTAAAGACAGAGATAGCGAGAAATGGAGGAAGAGAGACAGAGAGAGAGAGAGAGAGACAACAGAACACACGTGAGAGAGAGAGAGAGAGAGTGAAAGAGAGAGAGAGAGAGCGAGAGACACAGAGAGAGAGAGAGAGAGAGGTTCTATTGCTTAGTGGCTACGGCTGCTCCGTGGTATCTGCCAGCGGGAATCCGCGGCGGCCCTGTGGCTGCTGGCGGGATGAGGTCCAAAGGGAGCGGAAAGGGGGAGGGGGGGGGACAGAGTGGGGAGTGGGGGAGAATCGGCGAGGAGGAGGACGCGAAGAGTAACCATACGCAGTGGGTTTGAACAATGCATGGGGCTCTGGGGGTCTGATGTGTTCATTGGGTTGGCCTTCCGGGGCCTCAGGAAGCACGCCGCCCCAGGATGAGTATAAGGCCGCGGTCGGGCGAGAGCTGGGGAAGTATTATGACTCACCGCGAACTTTCCGCGAGATCGGACATTTCTTTTGAATGCAAAAGGAGTTCTTTGACACGTGGACCGCTAAGTCTGAAGCGTGAAGCTCGCCAGTCGAGTGGGCCCTCGGCGATCCTCTGTAAACTCACCAGTCCAGGGCCCAGCCTTTTCCTGATTCTGACGCGCGTGAAATACGCTCTGATGTGGGTGGTGCTCGTCACTTCCTCTGTTTTCCCACGACACGGGCACCCGCTATTTTCTCCTCCTCCTCCTCCTCGTCCTCCTCCTCCTCCTCGTCCTCCTCCTCCTCATCCTCCGCCTCCTCTTCCTCCTCCTCTCATTTCTCTGATGTGCGTTCCGAAGCGGCCCCCTTTCTGTCTTCTCGCG